GCCTTAAATACCCATCTGTGCCAGGCTAAAACTGTATCCCCAATGGGCAGTGGCCCACAGGGTTACCTTGTGCTGGTGCCTACCAACTTCTGTTGAGCCAAATCTAAACTTGTATTACCTGTTCTGAAAATTGTATACTTTCTCCAGGGGCCTAAAACAGAGGCCTTACATCGTCTAATAAAAGAAAATAACTTATAATACAACCCTCCCCCTGTTAACACATTCATTCATTCCTAGCATATGCTAGGCACTGTGGTTGAGGCTGAATCACACAGAGAAATAAGGCTGGAACACCCTCAGCACGCAGCCCCACAACTGCGAGCTTGCTTTCATCTCCTTTATTTCAGTCTCCGAGGAAGAAGTGTCTGTTTAGCTTGAAGCTAAAGTCTCCTTCCCTGCTGCTCTTTTCTCTTCATCTTCTGGGAAAGTAGTTACTCTCTATTCTTTTGGTTTTTAACTGTCCCTTTGTGTTTTCCGCAACCTATATACATCTCCATGTCACTGTCCTTCATATCTTAGCATCTTGAAAGATTAATCTGGTTTTCCTCTTAGTATCCTTACTACCCACTCAGGCTTCAACTTGCTCCAAGTTAGGCTTTCCACTGCCATTCCCTACCTCCCAGATCCCACTGAAAGTGCTCTCCATAAGCTCACAAGGTAACTGATGTTCAAAAGCAATGGATATTTTTTGGCCTTTATCTTACTATTGACCACTCTCTGTCTCTGTGCTACCGTACACTGCTAGATTTCTTCGGACCTTTCTTTTCAGTCTTACTTGACAACTGTCCTTGCCCACACTTAACTGCCAGTGTTCCCTAGAGTTCTCATCTGACCCCTGTTCTCACTTTACATTGCTTCCTGAGTGATCTCATCCTCTCCCTTGGCTTCTGCTTCAGCCTATTTGCTGGAGATTCCAAAATCTGTGTATCTCTTAATAAAATCTTAAAATAGTCATAGCCCTCTGTTTCTGGTCAGGTTTTCTTCAGTCTGTCTTTCACATGGCTAACAGAGGGAGTCTTCTAAAATACAGTCTTGTCATTACCATCTTGTAAGGCTTTCAGTGACTCCCTGACACCTGGTAAAATCCAAATTTTATTAAATACCTTCATGGTCTGCCTCTATATTCTAAATTCAATTTACTATTATATACTTTCTGCTTAGTCATGCTAATTTTTTTATTCTTGCCGGATTATACTGTACCATTTCTTGGCATTATCTCCACAACTTGGCAGATGCTGTTCCCTTTGCATGGAATGTCTTTGTTAGCGTGGTGAGCTTTATTTATCCTTGAAGATCAGCTTAAGTATCTTCTCTGTGAAGACTTGTCTGATCATGGAGGCAGAGTTAATCATTCTGTCTTTCTTGTACCATTTTTACCAAACATCTGTTTTTAGTGCTTTTGCCATTTGCTATGTTCTCACCCTCAGTTAGTGTCTAGAATGCAAAGGGCAAATTGAGTTTCATTACGTCAGAGATCATGTCTTCTTCATCTTTGGATACCTAGTTTTAACAAAGTACCTTACAAATGGTTATAAAAAATTTCTGCTGTCTGAATGCAGTGTAGTCAGTATATGGTCTTGTGGATCTCTCCATATAAAGGAATGATCAGTACACTGTAAGAGAGGAATGTGCCAGGTGTTGTGATAGCCTGAAGGAGGGAATGATTGGGTAGTGTGGTCACAGTCAGAGAAAGTCTTCGCAGAAAAATGGGAAACAGCCCTGGTATTTATAAGAAAGAGACTAGTTCAAGATGTGAAGAATCTATGATGTGCTGGAATAATAGGAGGTGAGCTTGGAAAAGGCAGCAGAGACCAGAAAATGAAGCATCCTTAGCCTTCATGGCAGATCTTAAAGGTTTTATCCAGGAATGTGATAACACCATATTTTTGCTTTACAAAGATCTGTGAGGCAGTTGTACGAAACAAGGAATAGAAGGATGTGAGGCGGGAAATAGGGAGAGTACTAGTTAGAGGAAGCTGCTAGTGTAAAATTTCTAAAAGTTGCACTATTTGGAAGGAAAAGGATTAAAGCCTTCTCTACATAACAGAGAAAGGGGAATGGTCTCTGGGTAGAATCTGGCTCTGCCATTCTTCCTCCTTGGTAAACAGCAGAACCCCTTTTTGTTTTCATGATAGAGTGTGATAAAACCCACATTTGTGTAAGCAGTGGTATTTTTACCAGCAGTGCACATCTAACTGCAGTGTGCTTCTGTGGTTGTTTCCCTCTGTTCATGGTGCCCTCCAGCATCTTGATAAAATAATGGTGAAAGATTTTTTGCAGCTTTCTGACTGAATGCTGATTTGTCTCATTTCTGTAGCAGTTTTACCTAACTGCATGGTTGATTACTGGGACAGAAAAATAAATATTTTTATATTGTTTCTTTTTGTTTTTAAGGGCCACCCGGGAAACCTTTCCTTGCCTTAGCAACTCACTTTAACATCCAAATTCAGTCCATTTTCCTTTTACTACCTTCCCAGTACTGACAGGATATTGTACAGTGTATTTGAAAATAGATTAAAAAGTAGCTCAAAACACTCTGCCAAATAATGTCAATCAGAACTTCACAAAGAAAATGTTTCTCACTGTGAAGTTTTCCTAGTCCATTTGTCTCCCTACCCCAACCCCCATTTTTTAAGTATTTTATCCTATTAACAGAAGTTCATTTGATTTTAAAACTATTGGCTATAGCCTTATCTGTTTTGAAGGCAAGATGTGTCTTAAATAGCCTTTGTAACCCAAACTGTCAGAGTTGACACATTTGTTCCCATGAATGGACTTACTGCATTATTTTCATAAAAGTGTCACGTGTTTTTTACTATTAACTAGCTTCCAGGAGGATTGTCTCCTTAAGAAAGCCCATTATTTTATGTTCTGCTTACTTCTTTTTAACCTATTTTGGCCTTTCATAAACTCTGCATTCTTAAACTATTTTAATGTTAAGCCATTGTACGTAGTTCTTTATATTTTGTCTTTTTTATTGTTATTTTTTAAGTATATTCATATCTCAACTTACACTTTTACAATTTTAGTGAATTTTTTTTCCTGGAACTACTAAACCTCTTTGATAAAAAAAAATAAGCCTTATCAAAAATGCTTACAATGAGAGTATCAGTGCCATGTGGGTTCAGATTTATGATCCTTTGCTGACCTTGTGTCTGACCATGTCATTAAAGTCTGACCATGTCATTAAAGTCATGTCTGACCTCCATGAATATTAAGAATATCTGTATGGACTGGATATTCACTTCCCTAATTATCCTTTAAGAATTCATTAATTTATCTAAACCATTCCAGTCTTGCAGAGGCACTGAGAGCAAGAGGGAGCATATTCACATTTATTCCAAGGGCTTTCAAATTATACCACCATGATCCCTCATTAAATTCTAATATGATTCTATCTAGCATCTACTGAGAATTATTACCAAAGAGACAACAATTACCAATAGGTTTTAAGGTAGAAAATGGTTGAAAGAGAATAAACTTTAACCTGCTTATATTGTTAATCCATGTTTCCTTTTGCACAGATGTCACCAGTCTGCTATATCCTTTGAAAGTAGGACTTCCTTTTATTTGTCCCTAAAGTACCTATTTTCAATGTCAAGGAAGCTACCCTCTAGTTCAAGTACTTGAAAATTTAATGAACAGTTCTCTCCTGGACTATTCATCCTATCCATGCCTTTGATGATTTCATACTCTGATCATATATATTCCCTTTCCTTACCCTCCTATTTCCCTATCTGCTGCCCCTTTCAGACCCCAAAGTCATTTTAATTGCCCTTCTCTGAATCTTCTCCAGCTTTATTTTGTCTTTTTTGAGGTAAGTGGTCTGAATTACAGTAGTATTTCAGATGTAGGTTTTACTAAAGCTTTATACGTGAATAAAATAGTGTTAGGTTTGTTTCCTATAGTTGTCTTTAGGATTACATTTTATTGAAAGCCTTAAAATTTTTATCTTTAGATTGAATATTTTAGTGTTTACCTTGAAACTGTACCTGAAGAAAGCGCTCTTAAATAAAGCTAACGATTGTTTAGTACCTTCCTTAAAGGTTCTTATAAATCACACACACAAAGAATTCCTACAGTTCAGGGTTCCCCTGCAAAAGTTTTATGTGTCCACTTATCTTAGAGTTATCACCTTGCACTGATGACAAGGTAATACTGACCTGCACCAAATGGTTCATTGGGCTGTTGCTGTTGTTGTTGGCTAAGAGAAGCCTAACACACTCAGTTTACCTAATTATCACCAGGGGAAAAAGAAAGAGTATTTACTCTGTGCCAGATAGTTTTCTAAGTGCTTTGCATGTATAAACCTGTGAAGTAGATTATTATTTCAATTCTCCAGACTAGAAAAAGTGGGGTACAGTGCTATAAGATAACTTCCCCAAGTCAACCAGCTAGTAAGTGGTAGAGCCATTAATAAAATCTAGCCAGTCTAACTCCTGGACCTACCTTCTCAGTGGGTATCATGCACTTATGTACTGTTGCTTACTTTTTTAGAAAAGTAACTTAGCTATCCTTTTTGCAAACATCCTTAAGTTTTGTGATCTCTGGTATCTGGTACTCTTTCCCTGTCTTTCCTATAAAGGGTACAAGAAAGATTTTAGATAATGACTGTGTTGGTAAAATTCCAATCTGGGTTTCATTAATTCTAGTCTAGTCATCCTTTCTCTAAAACTGAATGAAAAGCTTTGTGACCAGAAACCTAAAACACCACCCTTAGCAATGACCCTGTGGTCACAGAGGCTCCATTCCTGCCACAAAGTATATTCCAAACAGCTCTGCTTGAATTTCTGACACCTGAAAAAAGGCTTTTGGTCCTCAGAGCATGTAGGAGAATTTGTAGGTAGTTCAGTATAAGCTCTACCACACTTTGAAAACCTCTCAATTTTAAGGTTTACTGCTGTGGTATATATCTCCAAACTTCCCTGTACTGGTGAATAGTTGATAATGACAGTGAGCACCCAAGGATTCCTGTCTAAAAACCTCTTCTGTTTTTGCAGTGGATAGCCTGCTGAAATACACTGGCTATGGGAATGCTGCAGGACTGTTGGCGGCCAGGGGCCTCTTGGCCGGAGGAAGAGGAGATAATTGGTACTCAGAGGACGAGGACACAGACACTGAGGAATACAAAAATGCAAAACCAAAGTATAGTATCAAGTTTCTTTTCACCTAACTATGTCTGTGCCTTTGATTTGGTTATTTGACTTTCACTTCTTTTGTCTCTCATTTTTCAAGTGTTTCTTTTCTTTTGTGGATTTGGAAGCTTTCCATTTAATAGTGTTTTTAGAGGCAATTTCATAGCTGGTGGCTTGAAGAGTGACTTCAAGTGATTGAGGAAGGATAATATTGTGAGAAATATTCTGCTGCATGCTCATTATCCTAAGTATTTGGAGAGATGGTATTTTTAGATGTATACCATCATATACTTAAAAAGTATTATTGCCCACTTTTTGCTTTCTTTTCCATAAGGTTGAGATTTTATAAGGTATAACCGAGATCAAGTATTTAAGTTGGTTATTTGATGCTTCAGTCTTTCTCAGAAATCTAAACATAGGTTCCATGAATTCTGATCTTCCCTCTTCCATAAAAGCCATATGAGTCAATAAAATGGTACATTACTAGCAAAAGGAAAGAAGTGTAGCTCCATAGTAAATTTTAATCAAACACTTGGGTAATAATCTTTTAACAGATACATTATTGCACTGAGTAGGCTAACCAGAGACTCTATCAAGTCTTCCCTGAATCAGTGCTTAGAAATCAAAGACACTAAGTCTTCTCTTATCCCAAAACAGACCACCTCTACTTTCTTCTGTTTCCTCCCCATCCTTTTTTTCCCCTTCTTAACCCCCCATCCCAGGTCAATTTCTTAGTTCCACTTATTAGAAGTTATTTGAGCTCAATTTTCTGGTTTCCGTTACTGAATGTTAAAAGGGTATGCCCTTTCCTTTTGGCATTATCAATGACGTTGACATGCTAGGTTTTCTACTGACAGTTTCTAGAATGTAATGAGGAACATGTGGTAGTTGATAAAGGATAGAAAATCATCTGCAAAATTAGGCTTTTTTTTTTTTAAAGGATAGATTGTGCCCTGTTAACATGAAAGTACTAGGTTATCAGAAGGTAAAAGCAAAGATCATTCCCTAATTAGACAAGACTTATATGGCCTGTATTCCTTGGCAAATCAGGCCTGGGTAGGTAGCATTACTTTTAGTATCTCCAGTTCAGCCTCAGCAGGATCTTGGAGAGTGTGTCTTAGAAAAAAAAGACTTTTGGGGAAAAAAGCTAGCAGTGACTCTAAGCAGTACATTCTTAAGACTGCCACCATTTAGATGTTATAAATTGGGCATCTCTATCATGTAATTGAAGCTTAGATAGAGGAATCATACTTTAACCTTTCCCTAATTATAGAAGTCATCATTCTAAATTAGTCTTGCTAGCTTTGATTTTTCTATTCCATAAACTATATTTTCATATCAGTTTAATATTTTCTCTCTCTCCATTTGAGAAATTAAAGTATACCACTTGAGGTATACTTTCATATTTTTAAATGAAAGTAGAAATTATATTAGGCATATATTGTGTCCCAAGTTACGTGGACAAGTCAACTAAGATTTAAAAAAAAACTCTTAAATACTTATTGGATACTTGATGTCGTTATATCTCAGTGTGTATTGTTGATTTCGTTTGGTAGATGACTTCTACCAGTGGTAATGATCACATATCTTACAGCACCAGAATGCTACTATAACAAGAAATTGCTCGGAGAAAATATAAGAATGCTGGGTCTCTCCTAGTAGAATGGAAAACAGAAATGTGTTAGATTATGAAAGTGAGGTTAGATTTCAGGAGAGCACCTTTTGTTTAAATCAAGGACCATGATGTTTGGTATTGTTATTGTCTTGGCTAGGAAGATTCTATACTTAGACCTTATTACACCCCTAGTTGGAATCTTCTTCAGCCTTTGGACCTGGCCTATACTGTTCATAGGAATGGAGTGTTAGTGTGGTCAGAATAGTCACCATTGTGAAACCTTGTTGTGTTTCTTAAACGTTGCTCGTGATAAGTATAAATACGTGTTTCTCACATAGCATTACATCTTTCCCCTTCAGATAGATTTGCGTCTGTTTTTTTCTTACATCTTCCCCCTTTCAGGTGAAACACTGTAGTGGGATGTTTGTTAATTTAAAATACTTATTCATGGGGTGCCTGGCTGGCTCAGTTGGTGGAGCACTCGACTCTTGATCTCAGGGTTGTGAGTTGAAGCCCCACGTTAGGTGTGGAGCCTACTTAAAAAAAAAATGAAATGCTTATTCAAATGGTCCTTGTGGAAGTGGTGGTAAACAAAGTACTTTGCAAGCAAGAGAACGCTTTGTGCTTTGGGGAGTGATCTGTAGCTCTCAAAGAACTTTTTCCCTAAAAATTTTGAAAACTTTTTACCAATCTAGTCCAGCTTATAAACTCAGCCTCCGAAAGGATTGCTTTCTCCCCTACCCTCTGATTACTCTTCACCAATCAGTGTTCTCAAGATCACGGTATGCTTTTCTTATGATGCATTTATTCACAACAGTTGCTAGTATTGGCAGAAGCAGAGAAATTACCCTTTATCCAGTTGGCCCTAGTCCCGTTGTCAAAAATGTAAGTGGATTGTGATTGATGCACCAAGGTAACCTATAATCCTTTAGTGGAATCTGAAACCAACAATTGTGTGGAGCTTACATTCAGGCTATGGGACACTGTTAATTTCACAACAATCTTTTTTGTGTCAAAGTAAGTGTATTTAATGGACTGGAAATGGCTTTCTGCAATTAGCAGAAATATACTCATAGAATCAAGTTACATGCCACACAGGTTTTTGGTGTAAGTCTAGCCATGTTTGTTAAGTTTTCAGATAAACTTTGGTCCTGTATCAGAAAGAAAAATGTCTAAATTCTAACTTTTATATCAGTTTTTTTTGTGCCTCTGAGCATGGAGGCCCCTTGCCTGTACAGGTGGTATAGTATAACTAATATTGTTTTGTACATCGTTCCAAACATCAGTTGAAAGATGTGTACCTAATGACATTTGGCTCCTTTTAGACCAGTGGCTTTCAGGCTGGGTATATAGGAGCCTAGGGGTCCAAAAAGGTATCTTTAAAGGTCTGCTAAACGGAGGGCAGAAGGAGGGGATGGCCAAGGTGGGCAGAACTCTAGGATACCTCCTTATACTCTTAATACCCCCTACACTAGTTCATAATCACATAGAGAAGCTTAAAATCATTGTACTAAGCAACTCGGGTGTTTCCTTCTTGGCTGTAGTTCTCTCAGGAGTAGCTGTGGCAGCAGCTGTATAATTTCTCCAGCATGAGACAAGAGACTTTCTTTGTCAAGATTTTGTTCTGTTGCTTTAAGTCCCATTGTAATTGTCACCATTACTGAAGCTATGCCAAAAAATCTGTATTTTTAATATTTCTTGAAGTAAATGAACAAGGATATAGTAAATTTCCACTCTTGTTTTTATTGTTTTGTTAGGGGGCAAGTATTCTGGGGAGTTTTTCCTGGAAAGACATTTCTAGCCTTATTTGCATAGAACCTCTCCTTTCCCACCCCACCTCCCCCTGTCCTGGCTCTGGGTTCACAAATAGCTTTTCCTGAAAACACTGATCCTTTCCTAGAGGTTGCAAATTGTCCACCCATAGGCTTGGCGTAGCTCACAGTTAGGTTCTGTTTGACTTACTTGATGTTGCATTCATTGGTTATTTAGTTTTGTGTTTTTATTTTCTGTTTTACATAGTAATTCCTAATTACTTGCCAACATTTAGAATTCAGATATTTCAGATGGAAATTTGGATTTCTAACTTCTTTTGAAGAAGTTCTAATAACACTAAGCCTGCATTTTCACATGGCAGGCAGCTGGCTGATGGAGTTGAGTGGCGGCGGTCCCCGTCATACCAGGCATAAGCTCCTCTGGTTTAACAGCGGATCCTTTTCATTCATCCTACCTGCTTAGCCTCTGTAGAGATTTGCCCTTATCGCTAACCCTTCTTTAACCAGAATGCTTTGAGTAAAATTTAATCCCCACTTTTTAGAGGTTGAAGTTAACTTTAATATAGCTCAGGGAAATTTTAATAGCTTTCTTGTTAAGTGACCTGGTACTGTTGATGTTGGCCAAATATAGCAACAGTTTGAAAAGCAGAAGTCTTGAAATATATTTCAGCTTTTACATATATATTCATATGCCCATACCTTTTTATGTCTTGATCCCTTCATCACCAGGCCCATAACTGTGGTCAGTTCATATAATGACCTTATATAATACAAAATGCTCAATGATACACTAACAAATGAGTTTAAATAATTCTTGTCACCTAACTGAAAGACGTATATAATCATAGAATTGGAGTGCTGGAAAGATGGGGTAGGGGAACAGACAGGGTGAGACAAAATCATACCATAAAATTACCCAGTATAGTATCCACCACAGTTAGTGTACCTAAAGCATCTTAAGACTCAGAGTCTTAAAAACTTACTGCAGGGTAAGTTTTGACTTACTTAAACTTAACCCCAGAATTTCAGTCTTAAACTAACCCCAGAATTTCAGTGTTCAGATCCTAAAACCTAGAAAGTTAAATCTTAGACTATACTATTTGAGGTTCTATAAAGGTGGCAAGTGATTGTTCAACTGAAAATAATCTACTTTATGAAACCTCACATCATTGTTACAGTGACTTATTTGTTTTCCTCTCTGGGTAGGGAAACCACAGGAGTCTGGTTTGAAGTGGGGAGCAGGAGGGGAGACAATTTCCAAGTCTGCCTCCTGACCCCAAGCACATTGGCATTTTTCCTATGAGTGGCACAGTTCAGAGCCCCAACTTGTGTTTTCTGTGATATTGTGTACATTCTTCTGCATACTGGGGGTGGGGGGTATTGGATGAGTAAAGGATGGTAAATTCTTACTCTGTAAGAATGAATTTCTGCCTACTGCTTTTATGCTCAGTGAGCAAAGGATTTTGTGACTTTTAGTAGCTAATTTTGGAGCAAGTCATTAAATCATTTTGGCAGCAGAGGACTTGAGGTCAGCTTGTGGAAAATGGACATCATTTCTATTAAGCCCTTTAAAGAACCAAAAAAAGAATCAAATGTGCCCTGATTCAGAAATTCATGTCCTGACTTTACCTTGTGGATACCACAGAGCTTACCAGTGTATCCTCCTGACACATTTTTCCCCCCAAGGCAAATGATGGCTTGTGCTAATGCCATTATATTCTAAAACAGTCTGTGGATCTGATTTCTTAAATCACCCCTCCACTGAACTTGAGAAGAGGCGCCTTCTCTCAAGAGACAAATCGAACATGTTTTACATAGTTAATACATCTACCTTCCCTTGTCCTTTATTCTAAGGCCTGATTTCCTTTGTCTGCTTGGAAAGTAGTATGTGCCTATAATAACTACCTTTACTAATTTATTTATAAGACTCGTTTTTCTAATTTAGCAGGTGGCAGAAAATAAACCAGTGAAAATGTTCTGTTGTTATAAGCCTAAGCAAATAATAGGTGGTGGAATTACATTTTCAGTGTGGCATCTGGATACATCTTAAAAACGCTGTAGTTCTCTGAAGCCTTGTCTAGGTCCCCTTTGTTCTTGACTTTGGGAACTATGGTGACCCCATTTCAGTGTATTTGTTAATGACCACTAACTAGAGGCCTTTTTCTCTTCTATTATGAGCACCTAAAAAACAAAACAAAACAAGAACAAAAAGAGGGAATAGTAGCACACAATGAGGGTCTGAAGTTGGCACTCTAGCCCTGTGTGGTTCTTAACCTCATTGTGTATCAGAATCACCAGGAAAATAAAATACATAGATTTAGTTGGTCTCAGGTGAGGCCTAAGCCTTTTCTTTAAAGTTTACCAAGTGATTCTAATGTGCAGCCTAAGCTAAGAATGACTGACAAGCCTGTGAGTTTTCAGACTATTTCCCAGAGTTCCTAAAATTACCTCAGGGGCAAACTTAAGAGGAAGCAAGTAAGTACAGACAAACATAAGGGGCTTTAAGGCCTCTGCTCTGCTTGGCCACCCCATCCCCTCTTCTGCTTGAGCCGTTCCATTTTGTCTATTTTATATATGGGCTTTCTGTGTAGATTTCATTTGTTTAAAAAAAGGCAGGGGGAGGTGGGTGGGTCAATCCACTGCTTTGAAGGAAAAAAAAAGTTTTTTAATCATGGCTGTAGATGTAGGTCTTAAGACTGTTAAAACAGATGTTTTAGATCTGGCTTTTGAGGAAGCTGAGCACTGAGTCCTACCACAAAAATCTGAATATCATGTACCCCCTGAGGAATGTAGAAAAAGAAAACGAAATCTTTTAGTAATAGATAATAGTACCTAGTGACCTAGCCCTTTTACTACTCAAATGAGAAATCCCTGGTCAGTAAAGAAAGTTAACTTGCCCAAGTCAAAGTCTAAAGCAGGGCTTGCAAGCTAGCCTCCAGAGGACCTAATTGATCACAAGGTCTTTGTTTTGGCCCACAGGATTCTACCTCCTGCCACTTTAGACTGGCACTGTCCTCAAGTTTACTCCAGTCCCCAAAACTCCACACTGTTTATAGTTGACCAGTTCACTCATTCGCTTATCCTGCAGGCCTGGCCACTGAAAGCATTTGTGTTTGTAGACCCTAGAAAGCAATTTATTAGCAATTTGCTGTTTGTTTTTAATGATCAAATGAAATATCCCTGCAAACTGTCCATACTTGGCTGAAACAAAATGCCGTAACCTCTTGTCTACTTTTCCAGAAAGATGTTTAAGTTATAGATATTTAGCAGCCATTGAAGAATTTTCTTTCATCTCCTTTAAAAAAAAAAAAAAAGTGTGGCTTTCATCTAAGAGGATAGCTTGTTTGGTATTAGAACTTCGTACAAAGTTTATGGGACATACACATTTTAAGTACTTTATTATTTCCAGAAAGTCAGATGGTATACCTGTCTCTTCGTAGGCTAGATTTCATTCTTTTTTTTAATCTAGGTCAGATCAAATCTGATTAAAATTGTTCTTCTGCTTTATCTTTTATTATTTGAACACTCACTGCCTTCTGTGGTCTCACTAATGGACTAATTTCCTGAGATGATAAATTGGCATGCTTTCATTTTCAGATTTCAGCCTCTCTGCCATCATTTTTCCAGTTTTTTTGACACATGTGTTTTATGCTGTATCACAAAATGGATTTCTCCTACTCTGAAATCATTTGTCCCCTTAAATTAATAAACTATGCATCCAAGGATATTTATCCTAACGGCACCAAATTTCCTATTTTTAAAAAGCAGCCATGCCTTTAAAAAAAAGTTGGCAAGTCAGCTATTGTTTTTTTTTTTTAAGTAAAACTACCACCCATTTCCCAAAGCAAATTAGTAGAAGAAGCAAATTTTTTAAAATTCCTATAGTAGTTCTATACTACAAAATTGCTATTATTGCCAATTTTTGGCTATTATACTCTTTCTTATTACAACTTACAACTTGGACCAGAAAGTATAGAAAGAGCATAATTTTAAAACATACAGCATAACTTTTTTTTCTTTTTGTAGCATTAATCTTATCACTGGTCATTTAGAGGAACCAATGCCAAATCCCATAGATGAAATGACAGAAGAACAAAAAGAATATGAAGCCATGAAACTTGTCAACATGCTTGATAAACTTTCCAGGTATTGTATTCCCATCCATTTTCTGCTTGGTTTCTAAAAATGTTCTATTTCTCTGTCTCTCTTACTGAGAGTTATCATGGAACAGCAACTCTGGAAATCCATGTTAATTGGAACAGGGTGGCCCGGGCAGCAGTAGGTCAGATCTCTCTTGGCTACCATGGTTTTTCTACATGTGCCGCTTCTGGATGTGCATTCTTAAACATTTAAACTCTCAAAGCTAGGACAGTAACTACTAGATCACTGTGATATTTAACCAACTAACCTCCCTGTCTTCAAAAAGATGCTATGAGTTAGGTTCAATGATTTTGCTCCTTCTTGTATTTTTTGTTTTAGTCTGTTTTGGTTTTTGTTCCAAATCATTATGCTTTTTTTTTTCCCCCCTTGTTTTTGATGTGCAAGTTGGCAATTCTGTCTTTTTGGGTTGCTGCTGATACCAAGAATTCTAAAATGTCATGCACCCAACAGGAAAAAGTGAAAAGGAATAGCTCAAATTAAGGGTTTTCTGAAAGCAAGTGGTTGTATTAATTAGGGGTTCTAAAGACAGTCTCCCCTTCCCTTCTTGCTTCACACCGCCTTCCCTTCCGGAAATAGCCAGTCTTGAAAATACTTAAGTCAAATATATACTAATCAGCAACTAGTCATCTTGGAGGGGTTACTAGAAAATATTAATTCCTTTCACACTTGCCTGAATCGCTCTATTTTCTAGTCATACATTGAGTCCCTGTCTCCTTTAAGCCATCTTGAGTGAGTGCTTCTGTGTGTTGGGGCAGCTGCCACTTAAAGGTGTATTTCTTCTGAGCATCTCCTTTTTCACAGCAACTATGTAAAAGCTAGTATACCTCAGTCAGGAGAATCCAGGGGAAGCCAGAAAGCCAACCATTATAGGGAAAGGTGGTACAAAGAAACAAGTTAGAGGTTAAGGCACAGCAGGAGGCTGACTGACATGGGGAGTATAACAAGTACAGGGAGACACGGGAGAGTGAGCTTTTTTCAAATGATGCTGGTAATGTGGTAGTAGTTATATAGAAATAAACAGCTTCATCATCTAGATCACATCCACAAAGCTAGTATGACTAGAATTTAGTGACTTCCAGCTAGTCCTTTTGAATTTCCATCCTTTCCCAAAGAGGTTAGAATCTACAGCTAACCAAGCTCACAATCTTCAAATGACCTTTGTTTGCAAATGACATTCTCCATACCTTCATAGAGAACTGACATGTTCCTTTACCGAAGGAATTATAGTCAAAGAGAAAATACTGTAGGCAAACCTACAGGAAGCAGAGTTACAAGCTCTGAATGAATATATAAACGTAAGATTTGTGCTTGGCTACTTCTGAAAGGATCTGATGCAGCTAATGAAACAGTGGTGTAAGTATAAAAGTTAGGATGAGAACCAACAGAGTCCATCTAGTAGAAGCTGGAGAGGGAAGTGTTAATAAGGACCTATGTGGAGCATATCAGTGTGTTAGGACAGTAAACAAGTTTCATAAATTTCACTCCAATAATATGAGCCCTTAAAAGAGAACACAGATGCTGTTCAACTGCCTATATCCCTGAATGAGTAAACTCCAAACTAGGGAAGTGGGAGATGGGGAAAAGACTGCCTAAAATAACTAACAGTATAACCCAGGTACCTGACTTACTGAAAGAGATAAAATCATTTCATAAGGCATCCCTATACAAGGGACAGAAAACGGTGCTAGGTCCTTCTTTTAATCCCAGGGGAATCCACATATTCTAGAAGCTGCCAACAAATAAATACACAAATGTCAAGTTTGAAATATCCAAGCTTCCACTTGATTTAAACTATGCCTCAAAGAAAATGTGTACTCACCCAGAAACACCCAGCAGATGCCCAACTCAATCTGAAGGTGATACTGATTTTTGCATGTATAAAACAGAGCAAATACGTCTTCTGTTGGCTTTGATGGTACCGATTTTGCCATTAAAATGGAAGCTAAAGGCAACTTTAAAAATAGTCCTAAATCACAGATTTTTTGCATGACGTGTGGTGGGTTTTTTACATTGTCTGCCTTTGTGTGTGTGCTTTCTAACATTTGCTCTCACTAATAATCAATGACAAAACTGTATGGAGATCAGTAGTGGGCATTCCAAAGCAGGAATGCAAAGAATGAAGCCATTCTTTATGCGTCTTATATGTTTGTCTTAAGTTTCTTCTCTCTCTTCACTGTTGATTTTTGGTTTTTGGTTTTTTTTGAGGTAGAAGAGATGGCATAGAGCCAAAGTAGACTAAGTTCAGTACAATTCAGGGAACATTTATTAAGCAGCTACTCTGTGCAAGGCACTGTGCTAGGAAGATGAGGGAGATTCAGAGAATGTGACAGGCTCTGCCTTTGGAAAACTCACATTCTAGTGAAGGAAATGGCTATAATTTGTTCTAAAATACAAGGTAGATGGAAATAATGACAAAATAAGGTCTATGTTAAACTGTAAACACCCAGGAAAAGGAGCAGTTCGTTCTGTCTGGATGAATCAGGGACGATTTCACAGGGAAGATAGCATTTGTGCTGATTCTTGAAGTTTAAAAGGTATTTAATAGATAAGTGGAGAAATGACCATTCATTCCAAGTAGAGGGAAATCTACTCCTGTCGATAAGATAAACCTTTGGTATTCATATATTGCATCTTTCTTCCAAAAAGCTCAGGTTGTTTTATCATTATTTGATTAATATAATCTGTTATCAGATTTCTAATTGGGGGAATCCCAAAGAATTGCCCCAAACATTTCCAAGCTAATGACGTGATAATCCATTTCAACAGTTTACAGAACACTTCCACATACATTCTCTTTCTAGCTTCATACCAAAGTGAGACTAGGAACTTCATTTTCCAGAACTCAAGACCTTTGCTCTGTCCACTGTGCTACTGTGTCTGTCTGTTAGAGTCAGTGTTTGCCAGAACACTTCCTAATCATCCTCTTCAGCATTGTGCTACTGGTTAGTTCCCTCAACTGTCACTCTGAGGATGTTCTTCATCCCACCAAGTCTTTATTGTGCTAAGAGTGTACTGTAGCTTTGTCTAATTAACTTTTCTTCTCAAAAATGAAATCATTTTCTCCTGGGCCTGAATTGAAAGGCATGTGAGTAAAGGCTAGATTGGAGGTGACGTGGCCAATGAATGGACACTAGACACTTCCTTTTTTCCATCCATAGGAGAGCAGATATGAAGGACCTGCACCAGGATGGTGGTTAGCAACAGTTGCCCGTGCCAAAGCACTTACCAAAGTGATGACTAAGGTTGGTCATGCCAAGTACTGTTACTGAGCCTGGTGTAGGGTATAGATGTCATCCACTACCAAAACTATAAAACCACCAATACAAAAATTAAAGTTACATTTCCACTTTGCCTCCATGCTGGGCATGGCGACCGCTGCAAGGAGCTCACTACCTTGGCAGCTTTATCGTAGCTATATTTCCAAGGACACCGGAGAGATTCATGCTCAAACATTTTCTTCCCATTGAATACCAACTGACTTAGTAGTATTCCTAGTGAGTGTGTGTGTGTGTGTGTGTGTATCAGGATTGTATTTGTGACAGATGTAGGTAAGGGGATTGGCAGTGGACCTGGAGGTCGTAAGAGTTTGAAAATAATCTGAACCCTATAAATCCCATCATGTCTAGCTAGTACAGTGCCTTGTACCCTGTGGTTCCCCTAGTGTGTGATGATGAAATGAGCACACAGCTGATCCCCACATCTGTAGGCCATTTTTTGCTTTGTAAAATAGCCTACATGGTTTAAGACTTTATACCTTTGTCAGTTCCATTTCTTGGCCAGATATGATAAAATTCAGGGCTGGAAAGGAATTCCATAAAGGTACTTTGGCCCATGACTGACTCATTTAAATATTGGGGCACATAATTTCTTTAAAGTGATCATTGTAATATATATCATAAGCATTAAGGCCTGAGGCATGAGATTAAAAATGTTCAATGAAGCTTTCTATGTGAGAGCAGAGGTGAAAGAGGGGATGAAATTTGCCTCCCTCTCCACCTCCTCTTTCCTTCTTTGAATTGGAAAAAAAATAAGCCCCCACAACTTAAGTGGGAGATTAGAATGGGGGCTGTGTGGTTGAGCAGCTCCAGTGTGGCTAATACAATTGCGTTCGCCTTAGCTACAGCACACAGCTCACGTATAATAACGCAACCTCCTCCAGAAGGAGGGAGAGAGGATTGATTGGCTTAAGCTTAAACTAACCAAAGGAAATAATATTTCAAGTTTCATTTTGTTTTGACTTTTCTAATCCCCTTTAGTTCCTTAATTGGAACCAGGCACTGATTAATCTTCTACTGCCATCCCTCCCCGCCCCCCTGCCCCACCCCAGTCACATTTAACAAGGTACATTGCCATTTTGCTTATACATTCTATCAGAATCTAAAATTTACATTTAATTATTTTCCCATTTCTTCCTTATCTATCACATATATATATATATATATATATATATATATTTGCCAGCCATTGTGCAGTATTTGGGACATGGCTTTCTTAATAAATGCAGGTTCCAAATATGGGAATAGTTCCCTTTAACCCAGAGATTATTTTTAGACTTACTAAAGCTGGGATGGGCTGACTGAGAATATGTAGTTTTTTTCCCTATGAATAAGTTACTCTGCTTACAAAAATATCAACAACTGTGATCACACCCACCTTTATGATAAGTTAGTCAAGGACATGTTTTTCAGGTATGTTTCAGAAGCATCCAATTTTTAAAGCATTGTGAGATCTATTGTAGGTATAAAAGTGTAAAGATCTTAATTGTTTAAATCAGAAAATCTTTTAGATCTGTGCTGTCCAATACAGTAACCACAAGCCATATAGGACTACTGAGCACTTGAAATGCGGTTAGTCTGAATTGGGATATCCTATAAGGGTTAAATACTCAGCCTTTCAGAAACTCAGTATAAAAAGAGAAATATAAAATATCTCAATTATTTAATATGGATTTTATATTGAAATAATATTTTTAATATACTGGGTTAGCAAAATATATGAAAATCAATTTTACCTATCTTTTTCCATGTGGCTACTAGAACAGTTAATATTACACCTATGGCTTGCATTTGTAGCTTACATTATATTTACGTGTGGCAGCACTATTCTACATCGTTAAAATACACTGTAAGGTTGCCCGGAAGTTCAATTAAGGGAACTTGGATCTGGTTAAATTAATATACCCTTAAATAGCAAGGGAGGATTAATTTGAGAAACTTGATATTGTGTATCTTTAGGTTATAGAGGGCCCTTCCACTGGCTAGACACCTCTAAGTAGGATGTCATGTGATCTTTGTATTGCCTGTTGGTAGTCACTGTTCTTTAACCTCAGTAGTAGGAATGACTACTTTGAGCTCTTAGTTTAAGCACTAGCTGAAATGGCTTCTGTTAGAGAAACATCAAATAAGAAAAATGTCCCCTGTCTGTTTGTGCTCTTAGTCACCCTCCTTCAACTTTTAAGTCTTTCTAATTGGGGAAAGCATGTAAGAACTTCTATTTCTCCTGCTTTATTCAACAGTGTCAGTTGGCATGCTGATCTCTTATTAATATTTATTTTGCTAATTTGGACAACAGGTTAGAAAAATTCTGTAGAAAATTTACCGAGAAATAAGAATACTTTCACTTTAGTTTTAGGATAAAACTAAATTTGATTCTTTAGCACTGTCCCTAACCTCTTTCTACATATTTTTTTAACCATGCTGTTTAATGTGAGGTAGGTAACAAATTTTTAGAAGCTTTGCATGTGATCTTCTAACAGAAACAAGGATAAAAGACTAATATTTATATAGTGCTTTCAAGTTTAAAAAGCGCTTCCATATATATATGATCTCTAATGATCGGTGAAGCAGCCCTCTGAATTAGATAGGGCAAGGAGTGTTTCACTGAAGAATAAATGGGACCAATCATTAAGTGACTGACCCAAGATCAGGCACCTGGTTAATGACATAGTCAGGACTCAGTTCTCAGTCGTAAGACTCCAGATCTTACGTTATTTTGAAAAATGACCAACAGCTCTCAAAAATGTGTCAGTAAGATGTTCTAAATTTTAAGAAAATGCAAAGCACAAAGACAGTAAGCATATTTACCTGAAAAGAGAATTAAGATTTGGAAGACATGCACTCCTGCTTTTTCATTCCATAGTTGAGGTCTTCTCAAAGATCAGTTGAGGTGCTAAAATAAATAGTTTATATCAAACACACACACACACACACACACACACACACCTTTATATGAAGGAAACCAGTAAAATTGCTATGACTCTGTGTTAATATGAGTGTTATTTTAATTATTTTAAAAAGAGAATGATTACAGGTCTTCTAACAAATTCTTATATTTAATGCAACCATATTAAGAAAATCTAACTTTAAAAAGGCTTCCCAGTGGGACTATTTAGGCAACTGCCAATTACCTTTATAAAATAGAAAGTAGTCCAAAGTAGTGGACAATATGCCATATCCATTTGTCATGGAAATATTTTTATGCTACATATTTACCTTCCTAATTGTACCCAGTCCCAAAGCACAATGGTGAGGTCTGAGGGAAGATCTCAGAATTGTATTGAAAGAGGCAGCCTGAAGACCTCAAATTTCCTATGGAAAAGCCACCATACCCCTCCAAATGTACTGGGTTAGTGGCTTAGTGAAATCAGTGTACCCAGTCAGCACTAGGAAGCCATTAGATGGGAAATCACGAAAGATGAAGGATCAGGGTCCAAGCCCAAAGGACATTCTTGCCCAGCCTGTAACTGAACATGTTAAGCAATGGCCAAAGTTATAATATTTTTCTATGAGAAAAAGGGGTTATAAACACTTGTAAGCATATCAACAAGTTATTAGGTAGTCCACTGTACTTCGGTGGATTATGGACTATTCCAGTGATGCTGAAATCGTGAAATAAGATGCACTCTCAGACTTGGAATTAGAGCAGATTACAGAGCTGCTTTCTCCGGGTTAGCACAGGCTCCATTCTAGCAGGCATTTTTGGAAAAGCTCTGTGTTCATTAAAAATGTTTTATTTATTTACCAGTTTCTCATCCTATCTTTCAAATGTGAAGAGGAGTTAAATATGAAACGGCTAATTTAAAATGTGAGGGTTCTTTTTTTCCAAGCCAACCTTACATTAAGAGCAGGAATCCCTGTGCCACAGAAATGGTTCCCAATTATCCCGTCTTGGGTTTTGTTATACATTGTACAGAAGTCAACAAAACAACTATGTAACAGAACCTGCCTAAATAGCAGCCGCCCTCATTAGAAACAGAGAATTAATCAGGGGGCGATTGAAGGAAGCAGTGCCTCACAGGTTTCCCCCTTTCTTCTTTTCTAATCATAGAACAAAATATATTACATAAAAGGATCGGAACTATTATGCAGTACTCAATTAGAGGGAGGTGAATAGGTCTCTAACATGCTGTTTTATCAAAAGAGCAGACTGGTGTTTGCATGACTGTTGTTTCATTACAGACCCTGTCATTAATTCCATGTGTCAATACTGCCCTGTAGTACACAGAGCAGACAAGAAAGAAGAGCCCTTGAAAACAAGGGAATGATTTTTGAGTCGTTATCAAGCTAAGTGGCAAGCGGGAAGCTGAAACTCGTATAGGTAAATTCGAAGGGACTCTTGGGAGATCTGCAAGTGGGAAACAAGAATGCATTTTACCAACTGCTTAATTATGTCCTGTTTTTCAAAAAGTACACTTGAATTGAATGCTTTGTTTGTATTGCACAAAAACATGTGCTGTGGGCAAGAGTATTCTCTTGCTTCCAGGTCAAGTAAGGTGTTTTATACACATATACATCTGGCCTATTCTATAATGTGCGATTGGGTATGTTAGTATCTGAGCCCCAATATTGCACTGTCATTTCTGGGGGAAAGACTTACATAGGAACCAGAAGCCCTAAGAAATGGAACCTTCTCTAAGGTTCTGAGAAATTGTGTAAGCCCAGGCATCCCAGAGGACCACCCTGACAGGGAAATGGTGGCTCAGGAAAATGTTAAAATATATCTGGGGGAAGAAAAAAAAATTTTTAATATGGTATAAATCCCATAATCTCCCACCCCGCCCCCAAATCTTTAAGAAAGTATTTTTTGGTTTCCATTAGCAGTCCCAAGGGTTAGGCTGGGGCAAAATAGGGTTTCCTTTCTTGGACGTGCTTTATCTATGTCCTCATGCCTGGCCAAGCCCTTATAGATTATGGTTCCTTATCGTTTAGTAAGATCAAATTTCTAAATGATGTTTCGTTCCAGT